TTTTAGTGATTGCTCATGCACTTGTGACACCGGGTTCTGGGATGATTATGGGATTATTTAATATTAAGTTTGTTAAAGACATCAATATCTATTCAGTGAAATACATTACTCATTGTTTAATGTATAAAAGAAACGATTTCAAAAATATTAAAACAAGAAATTACTAGTAAATTGGTGTTGGCTTGCCTGACAATGGTGTCCGGCGCCATCACGACCCTTAGTAGATTTTGGGTCGTGACATGGATACTTGTTCTTGATAGTATCTGTATTCAACTGCCTATAATTAATATACAACCTCATACTACCATTTTTCTTCTTCACAAATAGCACTGGCGTGCCCCAAGGAGATATACTCGATCTAATGAATCCTTTATCAAGAAAATCTTGCAAATGTTTCTTGGTGATGCGATATGGTGGAATAGATATGGATGAGTGCCCGGAACCAAGTACAAAATCAATATTCTGATCTGATGGCATACCCGACAAATCCATAAGAAATACCTCTGAAGACTCCCTCACCACCGATACTGAATCCATGGAAGGAACCTCTGTGCTAGAATCTCAAAAAAAGCCAATTATGCTAGACATCCCTTTTCAACCATATATTGAGCCTTCAAAAATGATATCACCTTACTGTAGAATGACCAAGTGACCCTCACCACTCTACTATAGGCAATTCTAGCATAGCCAAAGTCACAGTCTTGGCATGACATCTAAGATAGCATGATATGGTGATAACCAATCCATGCCAAGAATCACCTCAAAATCAGCCATGTACAATAATAAGTGATCAACCATAGTATCAGACCCATTGATAGTAACCATACAAGAATGATAGACACGATCCACCACAGTAGAATCTTTAACAGGTATAGACACATAAACAGGAATATCCAAAGAATCACGAGGCATATCCAAATATAACGCAAAATAGGATGACACATACAAACAAGTAGAACCCGAATCAAACAATGCTGAAGCATCTCTATGACAGACCAAAATAATACCTATAATGACTGCATCAAACGCAATCGCCTTAGGCCTACCAAGGAAAGAATAACAACGAGCATGGACTCCACCTCATGGACGATCTCTACCCGCCTGACCTCCACATCTATCTAGTTGTGCAAGTAGAGTAGCAACTAGCATGGGAATCATAGTTTGGGTGCCTTGCTGAGATGCACTCATTCTAAGCCTAGGTCAATCCTTCCTCATGTGCCTCAAATCCCCATACTTAAAACAAGCTCTCTGCTGACATAGTTGTTGGAATTGAGCCTGTGCCGGATGACTGGAATATCCACTGTAAGGACTATGTGCAGGAGGTGCATTGAACAATGATTGCCCTAGAAGAGTACTCTAAAACACACAACTAGTTGGAGCACCACGTGAAGTCTTAGTGAACTGTCCTACTGGAATAGTTTCTACCATGATGACCCTTGCCCCCATAGTAGGCACCATTAAATCGTCCAGTATCACGAAGCTTCTTGGACTCTCTGTCCTCCCTCTCCAATCCCCATATATTCTCTAACCCCCTAGAAATTTCTATAGCCTGGTGAAAGTTAGTCTCAGTCTCAAACTCTCATGTCATCGCAAACCTAAGACTGTAGCTAAAACCCTAGTCAAATCTCAGTACCCTATCCTTCTCAGTAGGAACCAGAAAAGTTGCATAGCTTGAAAACCATGTGAGCCTCATCTCATACTGGATAACAATCATACCCTCCTTCTACAAGTGCTTTAACTAGTTGCGCAACTCATATCTCCTGGTGAATGGAGTGAACTTCTCTATGAAGAGAGTTGAAAACTGAGCCTATGTAAGAGGATGTGACCCTAATGGTCTGCATGCTCATACATCTGCCACCACTTCTTGGCTAGCCCTCTCAACTAAAATATAGTAAAATCAACTCCATTGGACTCCACAAGTCCTAATTTGCATAGAATCTCATGATACCTGTACAAGAACTCCTGAGCATCTGCTGTAGGATTACCAGTATAACATGGAGGATCTAACTTCTAGAACCGATCCATCCTCTTCTACTTCTCCATAGTCATAGCAGGTCTAACCTCGGGCCTGAATGTAGCAACATGCCAAACTATCCCAATCGATGGAATAACTAGAACTTCTGTTGTATAAAACATAGCAGTGGCCTGCTCCGGAGTGTGAATAGTTGGGGTCTGAGCCCCCCATCCAGTCTGAGTAGTAGATGAAATCATAGGGATCATACCGACCTATGCCAAGCCATCAAAGTAACTAAAGATCCAGACCATAGTGTCGTGAAGCACTAGGGTAACAATAAAACCCTTGGGAACTTGAGTCGGACTCGGTGGAACATCATGAACTGGAGCTTGATCCTCAATTGGAGCTATATGTGGCTCCTCAGAAACTGATTTAGCACGAGGAACTACAAGTGCTCCGCCTCTCACATGTGCAGTCGTACATGGTGTGGTCTAACTCTAGCCTTACCTAGACCTCTGCCTCTCCCAGCTCTAGCTTGAGGTACTGAATCTTGCTTGGCTACTACGATTGAATGTGTTCCCACCATCTATGAGAGAATAGAAGAGCAAATATTCACACTTTAGGATGAAATAATGTCCATGCGATAGAGATAAGAAGAAAGTAAAGTTTTCTAATTGTTCCATAGCCTCTCGAAGATAAGTACAGACGTATCTTTTTGATATGTAAGACACTACTAGACATGCTCATGACCCGTAAAACCTATGAACCTAGAGCTCCGATATCTTTGTCACAACCCAAATTCCCACCAACGGTCGTGATGGAACATAAAATCCTCGAGGACTAGGTAAGCCAACATGTAACATAGATCAAACTAAACTAAACGAGATATAATATAACTTAAATAGCATAAATAGCAAAATAAGTCTTTAAGAATAGAAAGCATAAGACACTACAATATCAAATCCCCTAAAATCTGGTAGTACAGAGTCATGAGCTTTATATCAAAATACAATTGAATCTCCCAATAATACAATACTATTTGAATACAAATAACAATATGAATTGGAAGGGGACTCCAAGGGTCTACGAGCGATCATTCAGTACTACCTCGAGTTTCCTCTGACAGCTACAAGGCTCACTACTGAAGTCCGCAACTCCTAATATCCGGATCTATACAAAAATATACAGAAGTGTAGTATAAGTACGGGACAACGTGTACTCAGTAAGTATTAAGATTAACCTTAGTGAAGCAGTGACAATATTCAAGTCATGAGATATCCACTAATCAAATAAACTTGTACAATTTATAATTTTTCATAAAAAACTATGACAAAAGATGCAATATTATCAAAGATTATATCAAGAGATATCAACTCAACATAGATAGTTCAATCTCGACTAATAAGTCAAAAGAATATAATAGAGGCATTTCGTAGCATGTTAGAATTCAACACAGAAAGCACATAGAATGCATAATAAGGCATAGAGATTCACTTGAATGGTCAAAGTTTCCACCATTATTCTAAAAACTCACAATCATCGGATTCTATATCAGCATCAACCAAACATTTGTCAATTTATCATAATCTATGTGTACGCCATCAAGAGAGAAATATGAGAGGGCGATTGTAACGACCCTACCGGTCGTTTTTCTTTCTAGAACCCTGTTTCCTTAAATAAGACTCTCCGTACGTACTTTTAGTGTTTTATGACTTGCGGGGATGGTTAGTTCGGGATTTGGAAGGGTTCGGGTTGAAATCGGAATACTTGGTTCCTTAAGGTTGGCTAAAAAGGCTAAGTTTGACTTCGATCAACATTTTGAGTAAATGACCTCGAAATTGGGATTTGACGGCTGGACTAGGTTCTTATGATGAATTCGGACTTGGGTGTATGTTCGGATCGGGTTTTTGATGGACCGGGAGCATGTCGGCACCTAATAGTGAAAGTTTACTCTTTGAAGGTTTTAAAGTTCTTTAAATTTGGTTTGGAGTAGGTTTTGGTGTTATCAAGTTCCAATTGGGATTCCAAGATCGGAATAGTTCCATATGGTGATTTAAGACTTGCACAAAAAATTTGGTATCATTCCAAGCTCCTTGGGGTTGGCCTCGTCCCACCATAGTGACCGAGACTAGGAGTTTCTTGGGGTTGGCAGGTTATTATTGCGGGTTTGTGGAGGGCTTCTCATCTATTGCATCACCTTTGACTAGATTGACCCAGAAGGGTGCTCCATTCCGTTGGTCTGATGATTGTGAGGTGAGCTTTTAGAAGCTCAAGACCGCATTGACTTCAACACCGGTGTTAGTGTTGCCTTCCGATTCAGGGACGTATACTGTGTATTGCGACGCTTCACGCATTGGTTTGGGTTGTGTATTAATGCAGGAGGGGCGAGTTATTGCATATGCTTCACGTCAGTTGAAGCCCCATGAGAAGAATTATCCTATACACGACTCGGAGTTGGCCATGATTGTTCATGCTCTTAAGATCTGGAGGCATTATCTTTATGGGGTGTCCTGTGAGGTTTACACCGATCATCGTAGCTTGTAGCATTTGTTCAAGCAGAGGATCTCAATTTGAGGTAGTGCAGGTGGCTTGAGTTACTGAAGGACTATGATATTACAATTCTTTACCCTCTGAGCAAGGCAAATGTAGTTGTGGATGCCTTGAGCAGGAAGGTGGAGAGTATGGATATCTTGGCATTCATTTCAGCAAATGAGAGGCCATTATCTTTGGACATGAGATTGGATATTTCAGAGCCCAGTTGACTTCTTGCATACATCGTCCAGTCTTCACTATTAGAGTAGATCAAGGATCGTCAGTTTGATGATCCACACTTGTTGGTTCTCAGAGAGACGGTACTACAGGGTGGTGCTAAGGAGGTTACTAATAGCAAGGATGGTGTTCTGTGCTCCAAGGTCGTCTATGTGTTCCTAATGTTGATGGGCTGAGGGAAAGGATTCTATAGGAGGCACAGAGTTCTCGGTATTCTATTCATCCAAATGCTACGAAGATTTATCGCGACCTGCGGCAACATTATTGGTGGTGGCGGATGAAGGAGAATATAATTGAGAATGTTGTTCAGGAGACTATATGGAAGGGTACTAGGGCACGAGATGTAGATGGGTTTAAACTATGGTACTCAGGGAGCGCTGGGGGAAAGAATGGGGTAGGTATTATAGTAGACAGGGACCTAAGGAAGCTCGTGGTTGAGGTTATGAGGGTAAATGATAGGTTGATAAGTATTAAGCTAGTAGTTGGTGGGTTTACTGTAAACGTGATTAGTGCATATGCTCTTCAGGTAGGTTTGGACCAGGAGGTCAAGAAGGAATTCCAGGAGGATTTGGACAAGATGGTGCATAGTATCCCGCATACAGAGAAGTTGTTCATTGGCGGAGATTTCAATGGTCATATTGGGGCTAGTGCTAGGGGTTATGATGATGTGCATGGCGGGTACGATTTTGGGGATAGGAATGAGGGAGCTAATTCACTGTTGGATTTTGCTAGAGCTTTTGATTTCGTTATAGCTAACTCGAGTTTTCCGAAGAGGGAAGAGCACTTGGTCACTTTCAGAAATTCAATGGGCAAGACTCAGATTGATTACCTTCTTTGCAGGAAAGGCGATAAAGGTCTATGCACTGACTGCAAAGTCATCCCAAGTGAGCACCTCACGACTCTACATAGGCTCCTAGTTATGGGCCTAGAGATCAAGAGGAGTAGGAGGAAGAGGGCGGGGTGCAAGAAACCTAAGATCAAATGGGGTAACTTGACCAAGGACAAAGCTCAGGAGTTAGGGGAGAAGTTGATGGCTATGAGGGCCTAGATGAGTATGGGGGACGCGTCTAGTATGTGGTTCACGACTGCAGATTGCATTAGGGTAGCTGCTAGAGAGGTCTTAGGGGTCACGAAGGGCTCTCCTGGGAGTCATAAAGGGGACTGGTGGTGGAATGGAGAGGTTCATGGTAAAGTGAAAGCTAAGAAAGCTGCTTATTTGAAGCTAGTAGAGAGTACAAACGAGGAGAAAAAAAGGACTTATCGGGAGTGTTACAAAAAGGAAAAGAAAGAGGCAAAGTTAGCAGTTACGACGGCTAAGAATGCAGCGTTTGCTCGTTTGTATGAGGAGCTCGAGGGCAAAGGCAGGGACAAGAGGTTGTACCGGTTGGTCAAGGTGAGGCAGAGCAAAGCCCGCGACTTAGACCAATTAAAGTGCATCAAGGCTGAGGATGGCAAAGTGTTGATGGATGAGGCACTCATTAGGAGAAGATGACAGACATACTTTCATAAACTGTTGAATGAGGAGGGGGATAGACGCATTGTGTTGGGTGAGTTGGAGCACTCCGAGAGCCGGCGAGACTTTAGGTACTGTAGGCAAATTACGGTAGAGTAGGTGGAAGGGGCGATGTGTAAGATGTGTAGGGGCAGAGCGACGGGGCCAGACGAAATCCTGGTGGAATTCTGGAAGAGCGCCGGGCGGGTGGGTTTGGAGTGGCTCACTGGGCTGTTTAATGTTATTTTTAAGACAACGAAGATGCCTGAAGAATGGAGGTGGAGTATGATGGTTCCGCTTTACAAGAACAAGGGTGATATCCAAAATTTCAACTATTATAGGGGTATCAAGTTATTGAGTCATACTATGAAGGTTTGGGTGAGGGTGGTGGAGGCTAGGGTGAGGAGATGCGTGTCTATTTCCGAGAATCAGTTTGGATTCATGCTGGGGCGTTCGACTACGAAAGTGATTCATCTGGTAAGGAGATTAGTGGAGCAGTACAGGGAGAGGAAAAAGGATTTGCATATGGTGTTTATTGACCTTGAGAAGGCATACGATAAAGTTCCGAGGGAGGTCCTGTGGAGGTGTTTGAAGGTTAGTGGCATTCCGGTGGCGTACATTAGGGTGATTAAGGACATATACGATGATGCTAAGACTCGGGTAAGGACTGTGGGTGGTGACTCGGAGCATTTCCCTGTGGAGATGGTGTTGCACCAAGGTTCGGCTCTTAGCCCATTTTTATTTGCCTTGGCGATGGATGTACTGTCGCGTCACATCCAAGGGGAGGTGCCTTGGTGCATGCTATTTGCCGATGATATAGTGTTGATTGACGAGACGCGTAGCGGAGTTAACGCGAGGTTGGAGGTTTGGAGACAGACCTTGGAGTGCAAATTCAGTGACGGGACTCATGATGCAGACATAGAGGTTAAGCTTGATGATCAAGTTATCTCCAAGAGAGCGAGTTCTAAGTATCTCAAGTCTATTATCCAGGCTAACGGGGAGATTGACAAAGATGTCGCACGTCGCATCGGAGCGGGATGGATGAAGTGGAGGATTGCTTCCGGTGTTTTGTGTGATAGGAATGTGCCGCTAAGACATAAGGGTAAGTTTTATCGAGTGGTGGTTCGACCGGCTATGCTGTATGGGGCTGAGTGTTGGCCAGTCAAGAACTGCACCAGTCAAGAACTCCCACGTGCAGAAGATGAGAGTAGCACAGATGAGGATGTTGAGATGGATGTGTGGGTGTAACAGGAGAGATAGGATTAAGAATGAACCTATTCGGGACAGAGTGGGAGTAACCTCCGTGGAAGACAAGATGCGGGAGTCGAGGCTGAGATGGTTCGGACATGTTAAGAGAAGGAGCATTGATGCTCCTGTCAGGAGGTGTGAAAGGTTGGCCATAGAGAGTTTGAGAAGAGGTTGAGGTAGGCCTAACAAGTACTGGGGAGAGGTGATTAGGCAGGACATGGCACTGCTTCAGCTCACTGAGGACATGAACGTTGATATGAGGGTGTGGAGGTCGAGGATTAAGGTAAAAGGTTAGTAGGTAGTTTATAGTTGTTCACCGATAGTCTTAGTAGCATGCATGTCCCTTTATATTCTTAGATATTTATTACGTTATTTGGAATTGTTTGCCTTAGGTATTTTATTCCCTGTTGCTATTATTTGGTACTACTAATCCTTTATATCTCCCTTTTCTTTTCTCTTCCATCTTTCTTCCTTCCTTGCTTTCCTCTTCTTCTTCTTACCCTTCCTAAGCCGAGGGTCTATTGGAAACAACCTCTCTACCTGTATTAGGTAGGGGTAAGGTCTGCGTACAGACTACCCTCCCCAGACCCCACCTGTTGGGATCAAACTAGGTTGTTGTTGTTGTTGTTAGGTGTCTAAATTGCCAGCAGGTTAAGTATGAGCACTAGAGGGTAGGTGGCCTACTCCAGCAGATGACTATACCTAAGTGGAAGTGGGAGTGCATTACTATGGACTTCATAGTTGGGTTGCCGTGGAACTTGTGGAAGTATGATGCAGTTTGGGTCATTGTCGACAGGTTGACCAAGCTTCATCCCGATTGTGACTACGTATACTTCAGAGAGGTTGGCCCAGATTTATATTCAGGAGATAGTTTGGTTGCATGGTGTGTCTGTTTCCATCATATCAGATAGATGCCCTCAATTTACTTTACATTTCTGGAGAGCAGTAGAGAGTGAGTTGGGGACCCGTGTAGAGCTCAGCACATCGTTTCATCCACAGATCGATGGGCAGTCGGAGCGGACAGTTCAGATCTTGGAGGACATGCTTAGAGCATGTGAGATTGACTTTGGAGGACAGTGGGATCGATTCTTGACCTTGGCCGAGTTTGCTTACAATAACAGTTATCAGTCCAGCATCGAGATGGCTTCATTTGAGGCTTTATATGGTCAGCGATGTCGTTCTCCCATTGGATGGTTTGAGCACAGTGAGGCTAAGTTATATTGTACTGACTTGGTGAAGGATGCCTTGGAAAGGTAAAGTTTATTCATGAGTGACTTCGCATAGCACAGTCCAGACAAAAGAGTTAAGCAGATAAGAAGTCGCGTGATTTATCATTTATGATGGGCGGGAATGGTCTCTTGAAAGTCTCGCTGATGAAGGGGATCATGAGGTTCGTGAAGAAGAGAAAGTTGAGCCCAAGGTTTATAGGCCCATTTGAGGTGTTGAGACGAGTTGGGAGGTTGCTTATAAGCTTGCTTTGCCTCCCAGTCTATCGGGAGTTCATCCGATTTTCCATGTGTCTATGCTCCAGAGGTATCATGCCGACTTGTCGCATATAATGGAGTTTAGCACGGTTCAGCTAGATGAGAGCCTGGGTTAAGAGGAGGAGCCAGTTGCCATTGTTGATAGGCAGGTTCGCAGGTTGACGTCCAAGAAGATTTTGGCAGTAGAAGTTCAGTGGAGGGGCCAACCAGTCAAGGAGGCGACTTGGGAGGCTGAGGAGGACATGCAGAGAAGATATCCACACTTATTCAGCACTCCATGTATGATTCTAGACCCATTCGAGGACGAATGTTTGTTTAAGAGGTGGAGAACGTAACGACCCGACCGGTTGTTTTGCTTTCTAGAACCCCGTTCCCCTAAATAAGACTCCTTGTATGTGCTTTTAGTGTTGTATGACTTGCGGGGATGGTCAGTTCTGGATTTGGAAAGTTTCGGATTGAAATCGGAACACTTGGTTCATTAAGGTTGGCTAATAAGGCTAAGTTTGACTTCGGTCAATGTTTTGAGTAAACAACATCGGAATTGAGATTTCATGGTTCCAATAGGTTCGTTTGATGATTTCGGACTTATCGTATGTTCTGATCGGGTTTTGGATGACCCGGGAGCGTTTTTGGTGCCTAATAGTTAAAGTTGACTCTTTGAAGGTTTTAAAGTTCTTTAAATTTGGTTTGGAGTAGGTTTTGGTGTTATCGAGGTCCAATTGGGATTTCGAGACCAGGAATAGTTCTGTGTGATGATCTAAGACTTGCGTGCAAAATTTGGTGTCATTTCGAGTAGTCTAAGTACGATTCGGCGCGTTCGGAGCGATTTGGAAACTTAAAGTTCATAGCTTGATTCAATTTGGTTTTGGAGTGTAATTCTTGGTTTTGTTGTGGTTTTACGCGTTTCGAGAGTTTGAGCAGGTCCGTATTATGTTTATAGACTTGTTGGTGTAGTAAGACGGTGTCCCAGGGGTCTCGGGTGTGTTTCGGACCACCCGGATCCAAGTTGAGGAATCCAAATTCTTCTAGTTCTGGTTTCCTTCTTCACTAACGTAGAAGGACCATCGTGTTCACGAAGAAGGATTTGGGGCAGTGGTCATTTTGCTCTTCTCGTTCACGGTCAGGCTAAGCTTGGTGACCCCAGTCCTACGCGTTCGCGAACCCCCTCTCGCGTTCGCGTAGAGGAAAGGGGCCGGGGAGGAGTCAGTGTTCTTTTCCCTTCGCGTTCGCGAAGGAGCAGTTGCGTTTGCGATGCCCTGGCTGGCCAAGCCTTCGCGAACGCGAGGCCTCTTCCGCATTTGCGAAGAAGAGAGCAGCTGGGCAGAGAGTTTTAAAAATCAGGACTTTCATTTATTGCACTCTTGGGCGATTTTGGAGCTTCAAAAAGGGGGATTTCAACCTAGCTATTGAAGGTAAGTAATTTCTACCAAATGTGAGTTTAATATATGGGTAGATTTTAACATGTAAATTTGTGGAAAATCATGATTTACATGAAAAAACCTAGGTTTTGATAAAAATGATATTTAACCACGAAATTGGTTATGGAATTTAGTGAAAATCATATATGTTCATGAGGTTATGGGTAACAATTTTCTTCAAAAATTTCTGGAATCCGGGCACGTGGGACCGGGGATGAATTTTAGGAATTCTTTAATTAGGGTTGGGAAATCGCTTTAATAGTTAGGATATGAACTTTTGAATGTGTTGACTATTTTATATCACACTTGACTAGTTTCGAGTCGTTTGGCACCGAGTTGAGGGTTTAAAGCACAATTCTGGACCGGAAAGTAAGCTTTGAGACGAGGTAAGTCTCTTTTCTAACCT